TCTATTTGCTGTGCTGATTGCTGCTCTTAGAGATGGTGGGGATTTTATCTGTGTCCCGTACAACCCTTACTTTTTCTACCAAATAAAAAGAATGAAATAAGACTTCAAACTTTGGAGAGACTTAGGTCAGCTGCTTTTCAAATGGGTGGCGTATCGGCATTGGAACGAATTACTCCACTGGCTATTACCTTCTTCTTTGAAGGCTTCTTTGAAAGGCTGTAAATTTTCTCAGGAACGGCACTTTAGAAAGTAACAGGCGTAAATTGTGCTCTGTAGGAGGCTTTTGTCCGACAGGTGTGTACGAGACTACTAGCAAAGAAGATGTCATGTCAGAATTGCTCCGGTCGTTGGGTGCTTCAGAATTGAACTGCAGTTATGCTACTGTACATAATCCGCTAAGTTTGTCTGTGGAGGTGGCTGTGTCCGTTGACCGGAAATTCACAAGTTCAATCGGTTTGAAGTAAGTGCCTCATGCTTGAAAGCACCGCACGTCCCCTGTGACCAAGTCCGAACACAACAAAGACGCGCTCAGCTCTCTCCAGATGTTCCCTTTTTTCAGCCATTTTTTCCGGTCTACAAACTCTCCCGAGGACCGCATTATTCAGTGTGGTGGCGAGCACCGCCCGTATCAAGTACACCCCGCCTACCTCGGGTGTGTCTACCCATTTCCTCCCCCAACTCCTTGATGCAGTTAAGTCACTTCTTTGCCATCTCTGGGCTGCTTTGATGCGGTAGTGTGGTTTGTTTGTCTGCGAAACCGCCTTTTTGGCGTATGCTTTACCTTCTGGGGGCTGGACTCGGCTCATGAGTGCCCAGTTCACTGTGCCAGGTCCTACCCATTTCTACCCTAACACGTCTCTTCAAGTTATTCTTCAACTAAAACCGATATCCTGGACGAATGAACAAACGTAGCAAACCCTGATGCTCCCAAGATTTTGTCTCAATGTTAACCCCCAAGAGTAGGGGCACATACAGAACCCATTCATTGAATGTTACGAAGCTCGAGCTTTATCGACCCACGTTAGAAGCTATTTACAACAACATAGAAATCCACCTTGCAGAGAGCTCGGAGCTTGCAACTGGACTGCAAATAGTCATACTCATAGGTCGGGAGACATGCAGCTCATGGAATTCTTGATCGAAAGATTTCCCCATATTAGTCAGAATGCGCATTCTTAGAATGTGGCATGGAGAAACAGATATGTGAACCAAATGATGACAATGACGGTCTCGATGGCGGTCTAAAGTATTACGTCCATCCCATTGAAAAATGTCTAAGGTTTTATCCATATAAAAAGAAGAGCAGAATAGACAAGAAAGTAATACTCTGGTTTGAGGTCAAGTAGGTCCCTTCTTCATGCGACTTGCTGTCAGTGCCCCGAGAGCATTTGGACCTCTGGTACCTTTACTTTTACAACGAGTTCGCGCAAAAGCTGTTAATGCCAATTTCGGCAAATGACGTTGTAGCGTTTGCCGTCGAGCAGTACTTTCGACTGACCAGAGCAG